ATCTGTGAGTATGTATCCAATCCCTGCATTGTACTGAGCCCAGGGGACAATACGGAAAGTAACACTTTCTTCAAGTTACTTGTAACTATTGCAAAGCCAAACAGGGGCCCCCGGGTGGTTCAGTCGGTCGAGCGTCTGACTTGGGCTCAGTCGAGCGTCTGACTTGGGCTCAGATCGTGATCTTGCGGTTCGTGAGTTTGAGTCCCAGTTCCGCACCGGGCTCTGTGCGGGCAGGGGAGCCCGCTTGCGTCTCCTCTCTGCCCCTCCCCTGCGCGTGCTCTCTCTCACAAATAAACATTAAAAAGCAAATAAATAACAGCAAAACATATGGCAGCGTTTCCCCTCCAGGAGTTGCGTTTGTATCTGGAGGGAGCACGATGCTCACTGCCGTGGAACCCTCAAACAGTTGGGAGCAGTGACCCCTTCCCACCTCCCTCGGCAGTATGTTGCCCCGGGCCTAAGCCACTCAAGTTCACAGAAGAATCTGTTACAGACTCTGGCTCCTTAATGCCGAATTTTTCAAGCGTCCGTTGTCCAAATGAACACACGGCGGGGGGAAATGAGTATCTATCAGGATCATCTGTCCATCTGAACGAGCTGGTTATAACCATTCTGTGGATGAGAGGTTGCAAAACAGAATAGTGGAGAACTGTAGCCAGGGCAGGTCACTAGTACCCAAAGTATTAGCCGTATTTACAATGACTTTTGCCCCGGAGGGTTGAGAATGCCACACGCGATAGTACATGCACCAGGATCTGTCTCTAATTCTGGGCTGCTTTTTAGCTCTAAATGACCAAGAAAGAAAAATCCAGACTTACGAGAAACAGCATTTGGGTGTTACTCTTTCATAGACCATCCTGGGCCTTTCTGTTTATTTTCTTTTTTTAAGTTTTATTTATGCAAGTAATCTCTCCACCCCGTGTGGGGCTTGAACTCACCACCCCGAGATCAAGAGTCACATGCTCTTCTGACTGAGCCAGCCGGGCGCCCCCTATGCTGGACCTTTTTAATCTCCTCCACACTCTGCTGCTTTTGAAATGTTAGTTTGAATTTGTTGCACAGAGAACAATAATCTTTGCCAAAGCAACCAGCCCTTTTGCTAATATCACATGAGTACAAGTGTCTGGTATTTTCTTCATCACATTTACTCTAATAAAAAACACAGAAAAGTACATGGCATCATTTTGGGAGTATTCCAGTTTCTATGTGGGCATTCTTTTTTTTTTTTTTAATTTTTTTTTTAAACGTTTTTATTTATTTTTGAGACAGAGAGAGACAGAGCATGAACGGGGGAGGGTCACAGAGAGAGGGAGACACAGAATCTGAAACAGGCTCCAGGCTCTGAGCTGTCAGCACAGAGCCCGACGCGGGGCTCGAACTCACGGACCGCGAGATCATGACCTGAGCCGAAGTCGGACACTCAACCGACCGAGCCACCCAGGTGCCCCTCTATGTGGGCATTCTTAAAGAGGGTTGTAACAGCTGCAATTCTGTCATTGTGCAGGAAGTCTTTCTAGAACACTCAACATGGATGGTTTGCAGTATTAGAATTCTAAACCAACCAAATAGCAACCCTATTTCTCCTTTTCTATTAGTTTGTGCTTCAAATGCTGCCTCTCTCTCTCTCTCTCTCTCTCTCATACGGTCACTTCACACATGCACACAACATGCAGATGTGTGTCCTAAAAGCTCTCAGAGATGCCGTATCCTCTGAGAGGACGAACATAGGTCTATGCAGCAGGGAGACTGGGACAGACATTGAAACACCAGGCCTCCGTGGCCTCTGAAGCTGTCCTACCAGCTACAACACTTACGATACACTGAGGACTGTCGCCCAGGCCTGTCCCCTCAACATGTTCACGTCTGCACATTTTGCCCCCTAAGTCTGCCTGCTCTTGCAATGATTTGTTTGCAATTGTGTAAAGTTAACAATTAGAGTAAGAGAAATATACAAGGGCGATGAATGAGTAAACGATCAGCTCCTTTAAGTCAATGGCTCAGCCTGTTGGCCCAGAGGATGGATATTATTACCTTCTAAGCTGTCAATGCTGGAGAGCAAGTGACTGAGGCCTGGATAAAGCATTCACGCAGGGACAAATGGGTTGAGACTGAGTCAGTCTTGCACAAAAAGAGATATTCTGGGGTTTAGCAACAGGGAAATTTTATTTACTTACTGGAATTAATAAAGCGGTACTCCAGTTGGAAAGAACTCTTCATTTCTACGTTCCTTCCATACATAAACCTCTCCGTCACTAATACCCTTGTACGAACTGGATGCTTACTACACAAGTATTTTTTTTTTTTCTTCTTTCAAAATTGCAAAAGCAGAAAGAATTCATTCTCAAAGGCTGGCTATATATACTACAGCTTGATCAGTGCTTGAGTTTCATGGGTTCACGGGCTTTGGGGACATTTCAAAATACATAATGATTATGTTCACCAACATACTGAATGCCAAATACACACAAAACACTGCCCTATGGGGTGTGTGTGTGTGTGTGTGTGCGTCTGTGCGTGCGTGCGTGTGTGTGTGTGTGTGTGTTTTGGAGCAGGACGCTGAATAGTCTTGCTACCTGCTCTCAGGGAGGTTTCAGTAGAGATCTTCACATTTCCTTGGAGTCACATGCTTTAAGTATAAAATCACGCGACTATAATCTGTCCTAGAAACCAAATACGCAGGTTCTCCTTCTAGAAACTCTCAGGCTAGCATACTAAACAGATAACCAAATGTAGTCAGGTTTTGATAAACGCTATAGTATAATCAAGGTGCCAGGAGAACACAATGGAGGGAGACAAAGTTGATTCGGGAAACCGAAAGTTTCAAAGAGGAGTTATTTTTTTAGTTGAGTCTTACAAGTTGACTAGCGATTCAACAGCCAGAAAGGTAGTGTAGACAGCCCTAGGCCAGAGTCCATTCTAGGGAAAGACACAGAGTCGTGAAATAGCACGAAGTGTCCAGAAAACATTGATGAGCCTTGCGAAGCCTGACAATGGAAAGCACGGTCCCTGTTACGTGAACGATGTTTGGGAAAAGAACAGTCCCCACCGTGTTTCGTTCTGTTATTGTCTCATTGCCTGAAAGAGACTGTGAGCCGCGTAGGTCTGGATTCTTGGAGTGTCTTCGAAACCTAGTTGCTCTCTCTTATGTAGAAGCCCAGTGAGTACATTGGTCTCTTCGGTAGACAAAAGCCCAAGGAAATAGTCTATGAGCAAAGTGTGATTCACAGCCTTGTGCGTTGGACTAGGGTGGACTGGCCTCCTGATTCTTCCTTCTCTGCTGTGGAACAGCGGGTTCTTTGCCTGCTCTAAAAAGCATTTGTCAAGTATTACGGGTTGTTTGGCCAGTGCCATCATACAGAAAAAGAAAAACAAGCAGCGGGATGATGAAAGGGAAACTTGCTTCAAACAAATTCTCTCTATGCAAAATGTGAAGTTTAATGATTCGTATTCCTTTGAGTTCAGTTTATTTGGAGTTTCCAGACTTCCAAAATGATTTAAATAGCCCCTCTCGCTCCCTCCGTCTCTCTCTCTCTCTCTCTCTCTCTCTCTCTCTCTCTCACACACACACACACACACACACACGCATGCACAGGTGATATTTGTACATTTCTTGTCAGGGGAGCTACAGTTTTCAAGTAAGGTAATGTAAAATCCTCTTAAGTGTATCAATTCATTTGGCCAAATGCATGCACAATGGAATGAACCCAAGCCCCTATCAAGATGTAGAACATTTCCGTCACCACAGAAAATTGCCTTTAGCCCTTTGCCACGCAATACCCACAGGCAACCAGTGTTGTAGTTATTTTCAAAGTAGATTGCTCGTTTCTGTTTTA